GGACAAGAGTCCATTGAGAAGGGGCAAATTTTATTTTTTTTAACAATGTAAGATGTTACTTGTTAGTAAGTTCGGTTAGCGCAATCAAACATTTGATTATTTTTCATAAACTCAAACTCTAAATCCCGTGTAATTATTAATTATCTTATATTTTGATAATACCATGTTGGCGGTATACTTGACCAATAACAAGAGTTAAATGTTTACATGTGGAAAAAAATAAGAAACATAATAAATAAATCACAAAAATCATTAGGTGGGAATGATTCTATTTACACACCACCTATATTATCATGCACAACACACATATTTTTAATTAATTGATTTCTTCTCATTTCACACCATTAATTTTTTTAAAATTCTAAATTACCCTCATCTTCTTCAACTCTTTATCCCAAACTCTAACCCTAACATGTTCCCACAACCGTTGTTGCCCTCTCTCCTCCTCACCTTCTTATCATAACACTCTCCCAATCCAGATTTTGATTCACTGCCGATGCCATCATCTCTAGCCATCCACTTCCACCCAACGCTACCATTATCTCTCGCAACCCTTTCTTTTTCTTATGTTCAAACCCTAGATCTAGAAACCCAAACCCTAGATCGATCTCTCACATACACACACACACACACACACACTCTCTCTCTCTATCTCTCTTATAGGTCTAGGTTTCACCGCCGCAATGCACCACTGCCACAACCTTCATCCATTGCGAGCCTCAACTTTCGGGTAGAGAGAGAGAGAGAGAGAGAGAGAAAAAAAAACAAGATTCGCCACGGATCCACCACGAGATAGATGAACAATGGTGTAGTTGCAAGAAGGATGATGAATGGCGGCTATAGTTAGGGTAGGGTCGACGCCGGCACCAATTCGAAACCAAAAGTGTGTAGGTTGCAACGGTGGCTACTAGTGGTGTTCATGAGATTAGGGTTTACGATTTTGTCTAAGGTCCTGTTAGTGGACTATGATAGATGAACAGTGCATGTAGCTCATGTTTGTTTTGTTTGTGGCCTTCAGATTGGTAGTCCGTTCGGACTAAGATGGGCCTTGGGGCGAGTGGATTGATAGTCCGGGCGAAGAGGTAGTATTACAAAATAGTCCGTTAGCTTAGTGAGTTGTCGGAGGTTCGGCCGGTCAGCTTGCCAATCAACCGGTCAACTGATTTTTTTTTTTTTTTTACTTGTTGGGCATTTTTTTTTTAAATTTAAGTTTTAATATTTTTTGTATTTTTTTGTTAAGTAAAAATCATAATTTTATTTGTTTTATTATTTTACATTTATTTTATATAAAAATAATTTAACAATCCCCTCACTATCAATCCCCTCACTAACCAATCAAATACAATTTTACTAATCCCCTCACTATGAAAACAAACATAATTTTACTAATCCTGTCACTATGAATCTCCTCCATTCTATCTCTGAAAAAAAACGGGGCCTAAAAATGTAATTTATCTAAGAAACATAATTGTAATAAATAAATAAATAAATAAATAAGTGGTGTATAAATAGAATAATCGGGATTCTATTTGTACCCAAATACTAACTCATAAGGCCTAATTAAAATTTTAAAATTTTAGTTATATTATATCTTAATATAAATTTATTAATAATGACAATACATATTAAATTTTAAAATAAAATATTATTTTTTATCATAGTACATCTAAACCATTTATACGTATTCTTTTTTTTCAACTCTCTACATTTTCTTTCTAAATTTCAATTATTTTCTCTTCATCTTCTTACTCATTCCAAAATTTCGATTCACCCTATCAAAATTCACTATTATCATTATTATCATTGTTTTTTATTGAAAAAGTACAATCAAAATTTTGAGCCATGAAAACAGGAAAAAATAAAATCTAATTTTAGTGTTATAAAAAGTAACTTATTTGTGACAGAAACATATTTGGTTGAATTTTTGAATCACTTTTTCAAAACCCTAAAACTTGTTTGGTTTTGAATTTTCACACCGTATGTTTCAAAATTCTTTTGAAACCCAAGTTTTGAAACCCAAAACTTGTTTGGTTGAAGTTTTCACAAACAAATATTCAAAACCCAAATGACCAATCCCACAAACCTCAACTCATTATTTAGTACTTTTATAAAAAACAATTCATGAATACGAAACATTTTAAATGTATATAGATTGAGTGGATATAAAACTACAAAAACATTGTTAAATTTTTTAAATGTTCATAAAAAATAAAAAATACAGAGTGAAACTCTGTCATATAAATTAGATATGATGTATCTAAAAAGTATATTTAGATTATGTATATAAAATAAATAAACAAATTTGATTATAATAATATTGCAAAACAGTTTTGTCTACAAGATAAAAAAACACAAAACCCAAAAAAAATAAAAAATTAGTTTTGAAAAGTCGTAACCAAACAAATTTTGAATTCAAGATTTTAAAAACTATTTTTAAAATTCATAACCAAACAAGTTTTCAATTTTCAAAATTCTTTTCAAAAATCCAAAACCCACAATTGATTTCAAAATTAAACCAAACTTAAAATTTCAAAATTTTAGTTGAACATATTTAATGATTTTTTAAGTGTAAATAATCCCCTAAACTATACTATCATCCAAATTTTAACGGCAAAGACATAATAACTCATTGAAATAGAAATTGAAATCTAATAATTTAATTATTATAGTTAAAATATGAAAGATGAAAGTAAAATTTGAGTGAAAGTTTGAAGTTAAAAAGTGTAGGACGAATTATACTAACAGTCTCTATAGTTTGGAACTCGTGTCACTTTGATCCTTGACTTTTCAATTGTGACACATTTGACTATGAATTTTGAATCTTGTTCCAAATAAGAATAATTGAAGATACCATTGCTTAATTTCAAAGGCAAAATCATCAATTTGATTAATATAAACTAATTTGACAAAAATAAATGTCAAAAAAATATTTTTAAATTTTTAAAATTATTTCTACTCACCAAAGATAAAATTATGTAAAATTGATAAATCTTTTAAACATTTATTTATTTATTTATTTTACCAAATTAATTTTTATTATATGTTTGAATGATGATCATGCAATGGGTAATCGATGTATTTAATAAATGAAATGTTTTTAGTTTTGGATTTTTCGATTTAATGGATTGGTTTAATAATGATACCAAAGTTGTTGTCATGTTTGACTTTTGGAAAAATAAAAACTAATTTAATAAAAACAAAAACAACCACCATCATGATTATCATCTAAACACATAATAAAAATTAATTTAGTAAAAATAAATAAATAAATGTCTAAAATATTTATCAATGTTACATAATTTTATCTTTAGTGGGTAGAAATAATTTTTAAAAATTTAAAAATATTTTTTTGAAATTTATTTTTATTGAATTAGTTTATATTTTCAAATTGACATTTTTGTCCTTGAAAAATCTAATGGTATCATCAATTGTCCTTATTTAAAATAATATTTAAAATTCAAAATTAAATGTGTCACAATTAAAAAATTAAGAAGTAAAATGACACAAATTTCAAACTATAAAAACTGTCAGTGTAAATCACCCCAAAAATGTAATTTACACATTCCTAAATGTGAGTTTGATATTGTGGGCTATGGGCCCCCACTGCAAATCATAATTTGATATGTGATATTTTTTTTCATCTTTTAAGTTATTGATGTAGGTCATTTGTAAAAAAATGTAAAAAAATAAAATTGACATTTGTATCAAGAACCAAAATGACACAAGTTTCAAACTATAAGAATCGTCCGTGTAAATCACCCCAAAAATGTAATTTACACATTCCTAAATGTGAGTTTGATATTGTGGGCTATGGGCCCCCACTGCAAATCATAATTTGATATGTGATATTTTTTTTCATCTTTTAAGTTATTGATGTAGGTCATTTGTAAAAAAATAAAATTGATGTGATAATCGAACATAAATTTTTGTTAAAATCATATTTGTTGTTCATTTTTAATATAAATATGACAAAATTATATAGTTATAATATTATTGAATTAATTTAATCTTTTTCATTGATGATCTATACGTAGGGCCTCAAAGTTGAAATATCAAATTATTAGAGTGAGACTTGTGATGGATCTATGGATTCAAACAACATTGTCCAATTACATGAAAAATTGTTCAATGTTTTATCATTTTTAGATTTTAATTATTATTTATATTCATGTAATAAAGTAATATGTATGTGTAGAATCACTATATTTAAAAAAAAATAAAAAAAAATAGTTACATATATTATGCTACACTAGAAAACCACGGAAGAGGTGAAAATTTGGCATGAAATATTTATGTGATATATAGTAACTTTTATAAATTAAAAATAATAATAATATTCTTTCAGAATTTTAATATAGAATTACTACCAAGAATAATGTATTAGTTCAAATTTTGATATATTAAAGAACTTAAAACAATATATTTATAACAGTAATGCTATGCACATAGAGGATAAACACAGAATCAAACATAGAAATTGTTCCACCGAATAATTGCTCGGACAACCGGGAAACACCATGATAGGCACAATTGACAAGCTCCGGCCAAAATAACAGTCGTAATTAATACCATAATAGTCACAGTCGACAAGTTCTAGCCGATCATCCGAAACTGACCGAATGACCGGATGCACAATTTTCGTATTCGGATTTGTATTCGATGCTTTATGCACTTGGACGTTTTGGATTTATAATTACACCACATAGTGTATAAAAATGTATAGTTTTTGTTTGTAAATTAAAAATAAGTTTTCCCGCCTTCTTCACTTTCCCCTTCTTCCATTGATCAAGGTCACTGGACTCACTCTCTTGTTTCCTTCTCACGATTTAGGAGGATTCAAGAGGTTTAGACATTGGATTTCAAGGTCAGAACTCTTCGAACCCTAAATCATTATCTTTGTTTCCCTTTGATTTCGTTGTTTAACCCTAGACTGCAATTTCTAATTCGCTTTCAGTTTCAATTCCATCTGTGAATCTTCAAAATTTGAAGTTGCAAATCAGTTAAATCGAACACATACATACATTTAATTTCATAGAAACTATTACACTGAACAGAATTATAGGAACTACATAACATAGCTTTATTTTGATTCGTAGAGCACCACTACTACACATTTCGAAACTTAAATTGATGATTACTAGGTCATAAACAATACGATAATAGAAAGAAGAATCATCTACCGATGATTTTCGAATTACTATGAGCATATAGAACAGCAATGCTCCTTTATTATCGCTTCTTCGAGGTTGTAACTCACCGGAGCCTTAGATTTTTCATCCTGCATGTGAGAAAAACTATCATCAGCTATCAAAAAATTATGAAATGTATTCAGGAATTGCATATGAAAATATTGTGACATTATGAGTACTAGTGGCTTGATCGTTAGCAATTACATGATGGGCATGGATGGTAGGAAGATAAGGAAAAATAAAAATTGAAGTAGACATTAATTTAAATGCACAATAAATGGTTAAATTCATAAGTTTTAAAGCCACATGAAAAGTGCAATATATTAGAAAGCTAGAAGTGTGCTTATGGTTTTTTTGTTACAAAGCGAATCTGCATCTATAAAGGAGTACTTTATCCACCTAACAAATCCCTTGGTCTCGTGTGCTTGTGTTTGATGCGTAAAATTAGTATTAGGTTGATATCAATGTTGTTGGTTGTTTCGTAGAGGAGAAATGTTGTTTATCACCGATTTTGTTTCGCCTCCTAGGTAGAGTGATGCAATAAAAACCATGTGTATATGTAGAACCTACCATATTTAATAAATAGTGAGACTTACTACGCTACATAAGAATTGAAGAATTTTGGTGAACTATTTAGGTAATATATAGCAGCCCTCTTCTTAAAAAGGGGCGAAATGGTGATACAGGATTTCATGTAGTCAACCTCAAAAGGCTATGAAAAGACTTGTAAATTTGGGATGAGTTGTGGGCTCATGACCACTAGAAGTGATTATACAAGTTTATGTTTAATGGTTCTGAATTTTATGGAGAAAGAGAAAATGGTAGGTCAAGAAATTTAAGGCCAACATGAATCAATGTAAAAGGTGACATAGTCACTTAATTGTTCTAGGTTAGAGACTTTTAGCAATACTAATTAATTACTACTACTACCTGTGTAGTTTGGGAAAGGCACTTGGCCCTCCTCAATATTCTTGACATCCTCCACAAGGATCTCATAATGCCTCTTCACTTCCTCTGCAGTTTTCCCACCAATCGCCTTGGCGATATTGTGCCAACGGTCGGGGGTGTCTCTGTCATACACAGCCAGAGCCTTTTCAAAGGCTTTGTTCTGCTTAGCAGTCCAAGAACCAGAACCATGGGAGGACATTGATGCCATATATTTGGTTGGTAGTTGAGGTCTTAAGTTAGAACAGTAAATAGGGTGGGAAATAAGTCAATAACACTATATAGATATGTAGTGATTATATAAGTATCACTATGTAGAATTTTCTAAAATTATTGACGAATTGTTCAAGGTGAAAAGGGTTAGAAAATGGATTGGAAAAGCTGGAAGGCAAAGAACAGTGAGAAGAATGAAGAGAGTCAACAGGAAAGACTCTAGACAAGTCAAGGTCTGGTATGTGGAAAGAGGCGGCAAAGCCTTCTCTTTATAAGCTCCAGGAGCAGAGGGGTGAGGTGGGGTCTTTGCCGGTTGGCCTAGAAAACTTACAAAAATTATAGAATTTTCAATGATTTGTCCCTTAAGAACCATATCATGAACCAAGACAAAGAAGAGCAACAAGGTAGAAGAATCAGTATATCTGAATCTCCAAGATCTTTAAAGTTTTCTCTTCGGCTATATTATTATTATTATGTATAAAGTTTCAAGTCCTTTTCTTCCTTCTGTTTGGATGTCATGTCAGTTAAGTTTTTCTTTATTACGATGTAAGCATGTGATTTTCATACTAAGAAGAGCCTTCCAAAAACAGTAAAAGGTATGATAATGCATTCAGTTTTGGTGTTCCTTGTTTTGTATGTCAATTGTCTATTTATCTTTATCAAAATTCGGTACTTGGTGTGGTTTATTGGGATTACCTAACTCCTGGATATTAGGAATTTCAAGTGGGCTAAGCCCCATAGATAAGGAGGAAAAATTCATATAATGGCGATATCACATACCTATTATCAGAATTTAATAATTATCCAATATATGAGTATAGTGATTTTTTTTGTGCCTAGTAATTTAATGGTGTTGGATGGTAGTTACACTTAAAATTCCATGTGGTAGTTAATGAAGAAGCTATGTACTCTACAAAAATTACCCCAAAAATAAAATATATGGCCTACATATAAACATAATGGCGTAATTACATTTAAAAAATAGGATTTATCTATTTCATATCGTAGTTAATGAAAAAGCTATGTATTCTAAAATCTATTCAAAAAATAAAATATATAGCATAGATTCAAAGAGAGGTGTGTGGATCACACCACATAAATTTGGACCATATATTTTATTTTTAGTTTTTAATTTTTTTAAAGATAGGGGTAAGGGTAAGAGCATCCGCATTTGAGTTAAATTATAACCCAAAATATACTTTTGTTATTTTAGCTAGTTACCTTTTTAGTACTTACTGTATCAAACTGTCTATTCTAACTCAATCTTATTAAAATATTAATTTCTTATTGTATTTGTTATTCTTTATTTTTTTATTAAATTGATGAGATGCCACTCAAACAATTCTTAAAAAATACAAAAAAAAAAAAATGCCGTTGGTTGACTAACCGGTTGACCGGTTAGGCTAATTTTGGGCATTTTTCTTCTTCTGCTACAAGCACTCACGGGACATCCGGTAGGATATCGGGGAGGACATCCGGGTGGACGACCGGTTTAAAGATTTTGGCCCAGTTTTGTTCCAGAAAATATAATAAAAAATCATGTAGCTAATGAACAATGGCTCAACAAAGTTGTTGAGGTACTATATCAAATTTAACAAAAAGTTAATTTAGAAAAAAATTTGTTGAGACTGATGGAGAAAGAATTTTATGATTTACTAGTTATATTTTAACTTTTTGTTATTTTGCCTGATGCGGATGTTCTAAGTAGTTTATTAATAGATAATGATATTATGTGTCAGTAATACCTTGTTTCACCATTTTTTTACTCCAAGATAAGCATGCCACTGCAGAAAAGAAATCCATGAAGATCTCTCTATCTGAGACAATGTCATTCAGACTCCCTTTCTCTGTTTTATTCAAAAGACTGTCTTCAACCCTGAGAATTAGGTGGGCCCAAATCCAACGGCCGTACTAATGCTTTCACGAGGGTGCCACGAATCCAGACTTACTCGTTTAGGAGTTGAGTTTGCTAAAATAACCATTGGTGTTCTCTTCGATCTTGTATGTGTACCTTGTCCTGAACAACATTACAAACTGTCTAGCTGGCCAGCTGAGTCCGTACAATGATTATGTTATGTTTTTTTTTTATCCAAGGAAAGCTCAACACGTGTTACCTACTCCTTGCCAATCCTGACACGCTATCCTGAATTTTATGTTTTTTTATATCAATGGGAGTTCTAGCTAGCAGGTGCACGTAGTTTTCCCTCTCAATGGTGATTGGTCACTTGAGCACAAGAGTCTCCTGTAACCATCTATTGTTCTGGAAAAGAAGAATGCTATGATCCCACTAATACACGCCGAATGTACCCGAATGAAAGTTGTATGACTGAGATTGAAATTGTGTACTCTGAGGAAACTTTATAAAAACTAATAATTAAAAACAAAAACTTTTTCTTGAATATGAAATAAAATTTTGAAACTACCCTTGATGGGTAATTTCCCCTCTTTTTACCAGTTGTGGTTCAGTATTTTGCCAGTTTCAATGCCTACTATTGTTAGAGTTTATATTTTCCAGTGATAATTTGGAAATTAAAATTCCTTTCAAATCTAAATAATATCTAATATCACAGACATGGAGACATGGGACATAGTGATTTTGTAAAAAGTAGGATACAGACATGGTGGGGACATGGCAAAAACATGTTTTTATATATTTTTATTTGCTATTTATATATGAATATAAATTTGGGGCACAAAACCTCGTGTAATTTGTTTCCCTTCACTTTTTTCGCTCTTTGTTTTCATATATTTCACTTTTGACCTCCAATCAACTTTCTAAAATTATAAAAAGAATTAAAGATGTCTTTAGACGTGTCCAAACATACGAAACATGTGTCCGTGAAGTGTCCCCAAAGTGTGTAGTCCAAAAATAATAATTCAAAAAATTGGCATGGGGTCCGACACATGGGCACACATGTCCCTAGTTTGTCGGTGTATACTACGCCCATTTGGAAGTGTTGGTGCTTCATAGATCCAAGTTGAAGCCAGCCTTGTTACTTGTCTTTGACTGCTAATTAGAATATGAAATACCTACTTATGGGTTTTCGCGTCTGATCAATCTTGATTATATCATCTAAGTCATCGAGCTCAACATTAATTTAAAGAACGAAAAAACCGTGTTTTACATGTTCATAATCCATCAGAAGTCATGTGCAATCCACATCATAATTAGGACTTATGCCATTGATCATACTCCATTGTATTTATGGAAACCATGGTTCTGGGTCTTGCAGATGGGGCACAAGCAAATGTAAAAGTTGGGTATTAGGTAAATGGTAGTGAGAAATCTTTTCATCACAGCAGAGAGATTTATTCCTTTCATGTGCCAAACAGATCCAAAGCACATGTCAACAAAAACAAAATACATTAGCACCATATATAACAAGGATATCTGTTGATGATTTGCTTTCTTTGTACTTGGCTGTTAATTTGAATGTTGTGTTGGCACCAGATATATTGGAAAGTGGCATTACCTAACTTGTTCTTTAATTTTAACTCATTATAGGATTGAAACCATAGCTTTCAATTTGTTACTTTTGGTCATTTTTCAAGTTCAAAGAAAAGTGATTTTGATTTTTACTTCTCTTGGGTGAGCATATGGTTTGAGCTTTGGACTGTCCCATAATTTTTGTTTACCTTTTCGCTTGTTTATGATGAAGATGTACAGTGTTATAACTGATGATATCTGGTAAGTCATGGGCAGCCAAATGTAATGATGTGATAGAATCTTTTTTTGGTCCAGGCTCAAAACTTCAGTTTGTCCACTTGGGTGACTTTACTATCCTCTTCTTTTGGTGTTAGCTTAGCAAAAATGCTACTAATACAAAAATAAATTACATAATCGAACACACACACTCCCCACAAACATGTCATTGTCTTGTCCCATTTTGTGATTTGTTATTGTGTTAGTAGGACTGTTTTTTCCTTGAAATTTTTAACAGAAGGCTCATTTCAGAGGCCACACTGAAGATAATGGTGTTTCATGTGTTTTTGATTGAGCCTTGTTCTCGTTTTCTTTTCCTTCTTGTAATTATGGCTACTAATACAAGGTTGTTTAGGAAATTGTTTACTTCTTGTAATTGTTTTGTGAACTTCTATAACAATCATTTATCATAATACATGCTATCTGAGGCGAGATAGTTGTCTGCTCAACTCTGGGGCTGATGACACCATACAGTCCTGCTTGGGTTTCTATGGCACAGTAACGAGAACCATATTCATATTTCAAAAGATTCTCATTGGAGGAGTATCTCAATAGAGGAAAGGACACAATTTCTTTGGGGAACCTAAATATCTGTTTGGAATGATATTGAGATCTCCAAAAGAGTATCAAATTTTAGACGGTTCGCTGTGTGATACCGTATAGTATAGCTTTAGGCTGCAAGTGGACTAGGGTAGCCCCAACCTATGGGCCTATATTAGATAAAATCTTGCAAGTAGACTCCATTTGAGTCCATTCCCTTGTAGAATCCACAAAACTAACTCTTGAAAATAAGGAGCTAAAAAGGATCAGAATGGCACTTAGAAGAGCCTCATGTTATAAGGAAATGCATGATGCTTCTCTTTTATAATTCTTGATGAAAAAATTGTCTTAACTTCTTTTCATATATATATACATATCTATAATAGCGATGGGTGCAAAATCTAAACTTTTGGGCAATTTGTGAGGAAGATGGGTTAAATTTGAAAGCTGTTTAGCAGTTAGCAGTTATTTTGTGGCCCTTATTGGAAAAGAAAGTGTTACAAAGCTTCAAACCATCTTATGAGATGGTGTGCTTTATGTAGTAGTACAAATAGTACAAATGTGTGTATATGTACTGTTTTGTTCATGACATGCTTGCCTGTTAAGTCAACTGATTTCGTTCATTTTCATTGTATAGTGAATGATAAATAAGATTATTCTTCACAAGTTTTCATGTTATTTTGCCATTTTTTTCCTCAACGTGTTTTCATGATCTTCATTTTCATTGTTTTCATGATCTTCAACGTGTTTGTGAAGGAAGAACTCAGAGAACACAAATTGTTACTGTGCGTCCTAGATGAAATTTTCTCATTGCTTGCTACTTTTGACCATTCTTGCCTGTTGAACAACAAAAATGGAAAAATTGAGAGTAATCATGGCCTCTATAATCAAGTTGCACAAGTCATATCAAAGGGGATACTGGCCACAAGCTAATGGGCCTGGTGGTGATCATTAGTTGGAAATTACATCTGCAACTTTCTAGGAATCTTTACAAAATAAAAAAGAAAGCAAAGCTTTAAAAAATTGAGACAAGTCTTCCTACTGATATGGGGAAGAATCCTAAT